CTGAGGCTATATCTTTCGCTTCCGCGCATTCTTTTTAAACTCATGATTTTCTCATTTGTTTTAGAAGCGATTCTCTCAATAAACAGCTTCTATGAGCTTCATTTTCCATTATGTGTATAATAATGTTTTCCTACGACTTTGCCAGAATGTCTACTACACGTTATCAGATGCAGTGATGACGATTCACGTCGTGAGAGAATATTCTTCAATCTGTTTGTCCTTTGTTCATTATATACTAGAGAGGGTTCTTGCAGTCGCATGTCGAGGCTCTGCGTGCTCTGCCGCGACATGTCACAACTCTCGCAAGGCAGGAGAAGAGTATGCGAGATGGTGTTCGTTAGGGTCAGAGAACGTGGAGTGTAGCCGTTCTGTAAGGTTAAGTCTCCAATTTAGTATTTTCAATACAATTTAAAAGTCGTAAAGAAGACTCCGCGATGACTGCACAGGAAAGGCGAGCAGACAGACCCGCATCTCTGCTCACTCACAGGACTCGTTATTAGCGCCGCTGCTGCTCCACTCCCTATTCTCCGGCGCCTGCATTGGCTTTGCATTGATCATCAGCTATTAGTTCTACTGCCAAACGTGAAAGGGTAGTCAAAATTGCTTTAATGTTATTAAGAAATAATTTTATGGAATCCATATTTTTTGACATGAAAGTAAATATTTGCTTCCATGTTATACAGTCGATATTCAATATTCAGCTTTCGTACTGGTTATAAATCGATATTAATATTAGTTGCTGTTGTGCTTTAAACTGAGATTTCCGAAACACTACATTTTCGTAATTTCCTGATTTCTAAAATTTTATTTTGAATATAACGGCAGTGAATGTTCAAGTTCATTTAATAATAGTAATAATAATTATACATAATTTGCAGTAATTAGTAAACTAGTGTTTTGGAAGTCAATTGCAAATAACGGAAGTCAATTGCAAACGGTAATAAAAAAAAATAAACGAGTTCGTAATAGAAATCAATGTCGGAAAGCTTTACATACTGATAACAAATTAGTGATGTTTCAAGATATCCTGCTGTGCATTAGGCATAATCCAAACGTACGTTTCGTACCTACAAACGTGCAAACTTTTTTTTTATTAAAGAATGTATGAATGAATCTATAAATTAACCTCGTGATGTTTATCTTGCCGTTAATTTGTGAGAAACGTGAACAATTCAGAAAAATGTTCAGTTAGAAATGTCCGTATCTGTACAATGTAAACGTGTATTGGATACGAGATCTTGCTTTTTTTGAGCTGGTGTTATCATACTCTTAGCCAAGGGATCATTCTCCATAGCCCTTTCCTCCCAGCCGCCGCAATAGAGTGGCATCCTCGGCCCTCCCCTATTTTCGATTCACGCGGCCGCTTCCTCCAGTGCCTGCCTCCGACGCTGAACGCTGCCCCTTCCCCTCCGCCACCCCCACAACGGACACCAACGCCGCATGATCGGCTCCGGCGCCACTGCCACCCCCACCCCCCACCCCGACCACCGTGAATGCATCACCGCCGCCGCCTCGTGTGTGACCAAAGCGTCTGCCTCTGTGAACGGAGCGCCGCCGCCGCTGCCGCCGCCGCCGCCGTCGGGCGGTCGCGTTGAAGCAGTAGGCGAGGGCGCCCTGCTGTCTTATCGCCCATGACGGAAGCCCCGGCCCAGGGGGAGTGTCGGGTGCGCCGCTATCAGGCGCCTGCAGCAGCAGAAACACTCTGCCCCGCCGCCGCCGTTGCGACACGTAGTTCAAAGTTATGAAAAGTGAACGACTCTGCTTAGTGGTGCCCGGTCTTTACTCCTCATTATATGGGTTTTGTTTTTTTCTTCCGGTCTATCTGTGTCTGCCGTGCATGAAGTGGGCAGAAAACTGGCTTAAAATTTCCGTTTACCCTTCATTAAACGCTTTTTTTCCTTATTATTTTTCTGTTTCATCTTGTGTTAATGCTGTTTATTGCTTTGCTAGGATGTAATTTTCTTAATCAATGATATCTTTGTTACACATGAGTAGTTTGGATAGAGTTCTCTTCAGTACATTCAGTTTAGGAATATAAATATTTTTATATTTTCTAATATGTAATTGCTTGTTATTGCATTTAATACGGAGCTCGATATACACTGCATAACTTGCCTAGATAGATAGGATCGTGATTAGGGAAATATGAAAAGAGTGGAATGCCGCTACATGATCTGTTATTGAGGGAATCAGAAGAAGAATTATGGGAGGGAAATATAAAAGGACATGGTCAAGTTAACATATAACTAATGAGTAATCTTTAAAATTAGGTAAAAATAAAATGTATGTACCACGGGCGTTAACCGGTTCAAATGATCTGGATCCAAAGACGCTCGGGCTTTTTGCCGGCGCTCGACCGACCTTGTAACGCAAGTGTTGCGTAAATGAAAATTATTTGATTAAAATAAATTATTCCGTTCGTCTGCATGTTAATGCAATTCAGAAAGCGCCCATGTCGAACCTCAGATTTTCAATTCCGTCGTATATAAAGCTCAGTGTATTCTAGTTTGAAAGACTTGCGACTAGAGATCCCCGTTTGCTGCACTTCGAGATGCATAAGTTGACCCCAAGTCATTTTGATAACCGCCGCACTCCTCACTGGTACCATCGCGTGATGCTGCCTCTCGTTTCTATTGAAAGCAATCCATTTAGGAACAATATGCATTATTTAAAAAAACTTGTATTTTCTTACAATTAAAATGCGGTGGGGTTCGACTCATTCTATAACACCTTGTGAGCATGCATTTTTTTATAATTTTTTTCTTGGTGAAACTTTCTTTTTTCTACATATTGTACCTTTAGTTTTATTGCAGCTTAACCACTAGCTGCAACTGAATGTGGAAAGTCAGATTGTGTGATCTTGTCAAGTTAAATGTTCAATTCGATGCGGAGAACTATGTCATCTTACTTCCAGTTCATATCCATCTCTTTTGCAACCATGCCATTGGGATTCAGAACAATCGAGCAAAGATCCATGACGTTTCAGCGTTGTTCATTTGTGAAACGAAACTATGTGGGAGAAACAATCATAAAGACGTCGAGGACTGACCATTTCATTTCAAAGTGAACGATGAACCGAACGGCTTGTGCAACTTGCGACAACTGTTCGCAAGACCCGAATCGCTGCGCTGTCGTTCACCGGGCGCCCGCCTCTGCCCGTCGCGTCGTGCCGATCGCCGGCTCACACGGAGGGGCCTCCAGCTTCCCACTGCGACTACCTGCGGGATCATGAGTGTATGCAGGAAATTATTCAGTAAGGGAGAATTATTGTGTTTTACGATTAGTTAAACCATTCAGATATTTACATTTGAGAGTTAATATTGAAATGGGGTGGTCAACAATCAAATTGTTTGTGCATTTCTTAAGTAGCGTGTTTCAAGTTAAAATGTTTTCGAAATAAAGTAATACTTTAAAAAATGGGTAGTTTAAAATGAAGTAATCGTTTTTCAAAATGGATCGCGTAGTTGCAAACTGTGAGCGCGGGCAGTCGTCCTGCAAGTTGGGTGGCCCCTCTCCGAGACGGTGCAAGGGGGGAAGGGAGGGAAGGGCGAGGTTGACGGTGGCGTGACCCGCAGGCTCCGCGCGCGCCCCCGCGCCTCCGCTGACGCGCCGCGCCGCCACGCCGGCCCCCGCCCCGCCCCGCGGCGCGGAGCAGGGCCCCGGCCCCGCCCGGCGCCGCGCACGCCCACGGGCGCGGGCCGGCGCGCACTCGCACCCGCGCGCGCCGCCCATGGACACGCTGGTGTTCGCGCGCGGAGGCGTGTTCGCGCCCGCCGTGCCCACCATCCACTGCAAGACGTGCAAGGAGCGCCGGCGACGCAGGATGAGCGCCGCGGACGCCGACGCCGGCGACACCGACGCCGCCGACGCCCACGCGCACCACGCGCACGCCGCCCACGCCCCTACAACCGCCGGCCAGGGCCCCGTGCCCGAAGACCGCTGGTCAGTCACCCCCGGCATTGCATTTACTCTGTACGTCAGCTGTAGCAAAATGTTTTGGAATGCCCCCCCCCCCGTCACCAACGCCCCCGCAGGCGCACGCCTCGTGTGGGGGGACCGCTGGTCAGTGGTCCCTGCCATTGCTTTTTCTCTGTACGTCAGCAAGACGTACGTTTACAAGAGTTTTTTAAAAATTATTTTAAACGATTTTCTGAAGTTATATTTAATTGTAACCACCCTGTCACCTTTTTTTGAACGCAATTACGCTCGGAAATATTTTCCGCCACAGTTAAGAAACCTAAGTTGGATTTCATTACTGTTGCGGAACGAATATCCGAGCGTAATTGCCTCCAAATAAGGTAATGGGGAGGTGTCAATTATATATAATATCATAATGGGTAATATATCAGACCTGTGAAACTGTTCAAAGAATTAGTGTTTAGAAGTGTTTAGAGCAACTGGGCGTAAACCAGGAGACCTATTTTCTGAAGTACAAAATGATTTGGAATGCTCGCCTCAGCCACAAGGAGTCACCCGGGCTTCGCCAGCCCTGCAGCGCCACCCAAAGGTTTTGAAGCTTTGGAAACAGCTGAGTGGTGTGACAGGAGTCTTAATCATTCTTTAAATGCGCGCCAACTGTAATGATAGCTATAGTGCTCGCATTTGAAATTTGAGAATTGTTGCAGCATTGTTTTTAATGAAATGCCTAAGTTGTATTGTCTGGATTGTACCACACCCAAATTATATCATGTTTCAAATTTGGTCACGATTAAATTACATCGTTGTATACAATGAATGAATATATCATGGAAATGTGTTAAAAGTCATTAAAAAGTGTGGAGAAATTGAAATTTATATTTAAACTGAAGCTCGCAGTTTTGTTATTTTTATCACGTATTTAATGTGTGTATTTGACTCATGCTTGCCTCTTGTCGCTGAAAAGAAAACCTGTTAGATTTAATGTCCCATGAAGTAGCATCACTAATATTCTCAGAAAAGAGCTTTAAATTATATTTTAAACCATTATTTACATTTTCTACAGTTCGAATTTTTTGTTGCAGTGAGTTAAAGAAATTATCAGAGGAGAGTCTCACTCGCCAGCCTGAGGAGGTGTTCGACATCATCTGCAAGTTAGGCGAAGGGTAAGAGAGTTTTTTTTTTTTTTTAATCACGTTTTCGTCACAATTTTCCTAATAGATATGTCTTCAACACATGCTGTTTATAATAGGTTGGACGATAAGAAAGTAACTTTAAAATGATACGATTGTTGAAATTGTAGTTTTTCCTAATTAGTCGGAAAAAAATGCATTAAACAACAGAAATACTTGTGGCACTATTTAGAGTGACTTCAGAGAGTACCATGGAATATTTATTAGTTTTGAGCCAGCAAAAGTTGCGAATCGGCTAATATGCAACAAACATACTAGTGATTGAAGTAAATGGTCAATATTTGTGGTTACAGAGCGCTTGGGTGTGTCGCAGAATGATTAAAATGAGCATGAAAAATGTGAACCTCTCGAACCCACCCACCGAGGGGATTTGAAACGGTCTCGCAGTGTGAACGGGTGCGCATTGCGATTGGCTCTTTCACTCCTTCCACCGCTGGGGTCAGACTCGATCCCCAGATAGTCCAAGTGGAATCCCCGTTTCCCACCTCCCACCCTCCCATTCCTCCTTTATCATTAACCGTTTCATCAATATCCCTATCACGCATCATGGGACCTGGCCAATTCAAGAGTCCCTAAACCATGATATATATATATATATATATATATATATATATATATATTATTATATATATAATTAGATAAAAAATACATAAAAGACCGACCAAACCCGAACAATCTTCTTGTCAATTATCTCGTTCTTCAAAGTATACAGAACCAAATCAAGGTTCTATGCAGGAGCAGTGCAACGTGACTTCGTGAGTAGCCGCGATATAGAGCTCTGGGAAGTAGGTGAAACGGGTCTTCGAAACGTCTGTGATTGAAACGGGGCCAAGCCACAATCAACGTGATTTCCTTACGTAAACTGACATAGAATGAACGTGTGTCGTTGTCTCGCGGCATATTGAAACCTTTCCTCTTGTATACCTCTCTTTTTTCTCTACTGACATCTATATTATGGCTAGCTCAGGTATTTTATTTTCGATCTAATCACAGTACTAATATCAACTGCATAATAATACACAAATATCTCTGCGCTTTATTTTTAATATCATTTAACGAGTGGGACTAAAAATCCACAGCTCATTACGAGGTCTCGGCATATGGAAAATGTATATTTGGGGAATTGAAGATCGAAGGACAACATTTTAAAATATTATTGAAAATAACAAGCATTGGTGATATTTTCTGAAGCGCAACAATGCATTATGCCATTTATTTACTGAACAAATATATCCTCTTTCATATAGCCGCGTCAGAGTCGCCATGTATTTCAACCATTACATTAGCCTCTTTAATGACTTATTATTATTATTATTATCATTAGTATTATTATTATACAAAATAATCATATTCACACTGATTAACATACAATGAAGTTTATATCTTTCGTCCGCATTTCTGTACAATCCTTCCCTAATTTAAAAGTACTGAATGGCCATTTTATTTTAGATTATGTTAATTTCAAGAATTAAGCCATTCTTCGGCCTTGTACGTATTTATATTGCCTCTTTATAGCAATTTTCCACTTTTCTTTCGATGACTTCACATCCCTCTTGATTTCTCGATTGAGTTTATTCCACGGCTTTATATCAGGGAGGCTTCCAAACATCACCACTCTTGAAAGTTACGCAAGACCCGAATTTCTAATTTTGTTAATTGTAATTTCTAATTAAAAATGTCTCAAAACACATTACCTAATGATCACTAATTCTTCAAGTATTTACTCAAGTTATCAAATAACATTTTTGAAAAGAAATATCGTGAGCTCATCACAGGTGACAGCCTACATGGCGACTTCTTTCGCTCTCCTTTCACCATTTTGCAGTAATGCTATCCATCTGAAAATCTACTGTTCGTCTTTTCGGCGCAGTTCAAGTTCTAAATCGTTTCTCTTTACTAACTTGTGCGCACTTTGTTCTTCCGTCTAACCTATGTTCATGCTTTCCCATAGCTACCGCCCTTCGTTCTTCTTTTCATAATCGAGATGACATAGTTCATCTCAATTCGTTGTTGTTTAAATTCAAATTTGTGACGAACCATTATCAAAGAGAAGATTAATAATTATTTGACGTTCGAAAGTAAAGAAATATATTGCACTGTTTTCTACTTTTTTGAATGTTATGGCAATGTGTTCTAGTTACTAGAAAAATGTGATGAACAGCCCCAGGGAAGTGCCATTGAATATGCTCTGGGACTTACTACTTACTTACGGCTTCCAGGTCCTATGGCAGCGTGTACAAAGCTCTCCATAAGGAGTCCGGCCAGGTGCTGGCTATTAAGCAGGTTCCTGTGGACACAGACCTGCAAGAGATTATCAAAGAAATCTCCATAATGCAACAATGTGACAGCCCTTGGGTAGTAAAATATTATGGCAGTTATTTCAAGAATACTGACCTTTGGGTAAGGAAACTGAATTTTTAAATATAAATGCTTCAGTTATTATTATTCTACCCCTACATTTCATTGAAAATATTTTAATAATAAACAATATACGTACTGTCTGATTGTATTGCAGGTAATATTTGTTTACACATTTATTGACAGTATCAGCTGTTCATTAACCTGTCTTTCGCTTTAAAATATTCTCAAAAACCTGTACAAAAATATTCTCATGTATCTGTAATATTTCTTTTAATTTCGCATATCTAAGTATTCATTGCAATGTTTTTTTGTGATTAACGTATTTTTTATTTATTCTTACAGATTGTTATGGAGTACTGTGGTGCTGGATCTGTATCAGATATAATGCGTTTGAGAAAGAAGACTTTGACTGAGGATGAAATTGCTACCATACTTTGTGACACTTTGAAAGGTCTTGAATATTTGCATTTACGTCGAAAGATTCACCGTGACATTAAAGCAGGAAATATCCTCCTTAATACTGAAGGTCATGCCAAATTGGCGGATTTTGGTGTGGCTGGTCAGTTAACGGTATGTAATAAAAATTCATTTTCATTCTTATACAGTTTGTTCAAGGATTTCAATGCATTTATTTCAATTGAGGACATTTATTGATTACGTGCTATTTTACATTATAATTGAGAGTTCATAATGTAAAATCGTAATGAATGCAGCGATAATATCTGCCGTACGTATTGTTGTAAATCTGTCAATGGTTGTTCCTCATATTTCCTTTTTACCGCAGTCATCTGTAGGCTGGTTGAATTCTGTACCAATTTATTGTCCTCAGTAAAGGTGCGACATTTTCAAAAGTTATGGAAGTAATTATTCTCTTTTAAGTTTTACATGACATGTTTTATGGACTTCGCTACATAATTTCAAACACTAATCAAAATGTGACGTATGTGATTACCAAATATCTGAAATTGAGGCGTAATTATCTTACATTTATTGAAGCTTCCTCATTGCTTTATCACCATCGGTTTACTAAAGAATTTGGGGGAGGAAAGACCGTTTTTGTATGAAATACGAATTTTGCTATTAAAGTTCCATTTTGTTGATTGTTCTCATTGGAGAATATGCCTTGCAATCATTGTTTTGGTCGAATTATTATACAAAAAAAAAAAAAAGAAAAGAAAATATGTAACATTTATTAGTTCAGAAAGTTTTATAGTGATTTATTACAACAAGTTTAAGCAACTATTATCTACATCAAATGCGTCTTATTTAAAATTGTATTACTGCTGTGTACGGAATTCCCCGCCACCTCCCTCCGGACCAAAGAGAGTTAACGCGAAAAATAAAGAGGTTCCCAGATTATGGCATATGGAGAACTAGGAGCAAATGCAACCCGCACCACATTGCGCTGCAAAATATTTTACCATCGGACACTGAAACAGTGCGTGCGTCATAGGATCTTCACACCACGTTTGTGTTTGTTGTTGTTGTTGTTGTTGTTGTAACTACACGAGTTATATTATTTATATCTACAAAATGTTCAAACATTGTGTGAAGTTTATATGATGTTTTCACACACACACACACACACACACACACACACACACACGCGCTGAAAGTTGGGCTTCAGTGTGAAGCTGTTTTCACGTATAAAAGAATGATTTAAACAAATATGTTTTTTCCACCCTCCTGGGTACTCTAGCTATTCACAACTTTTCGTTTCAACTAACATGAGATTCACTGCACTAACCGTCGCCATAATGTTTATGCAAGTATTTGCTAATTTAAAAAAATATTTAATTTAAAATTTTGAATTTACTGTTTAATTTCCAATATTATGTGGAACCGAGGAGGAACGTATGGGGGAATATTCAGTGCAGCTTGAAATATGTTTGAAACGCGAGGTTAAAAAAATTTTAAGGGGAATATGCTGGGAAACATTTAGGGTGGGCGGGAAGCGTGTGGGGTTACATATGTTGGGAAAACGCGAGTGAGCATGTGAGGGCTTTAGAACATCAAAAGTAGGAAATTTAAATTTCTTTTCTTAAAGATGTTGCTTCATATTTAGATCAAAATGAAGCACCTATTGGAATATTTTTGGATCTTTCGAAAGCTTTTGACGTCATTAGTCATAACACCTTGGTTTCCTTTCAAAATATCCATATGAAATTCATAGTGTTGCCCCAAGATTGGATATCCTTATACCTTCAACATTGCAAAGAGTACAAATACCGTTCTGGCACGAAAGAACGTTATTTCCTCGTCTTTCTAATTCTTTGCTCATTGAGAATGGGGTTCCGCAAGGTTTAATATTAGACCTTATTTCCTTTTATACGAGAACGATATGCCTTCGACCATTATAAAAGGAAGAACAGTTCTGTTGACAGGAATGTTCTTTGCAAAAAAGAAACAAACATTGTTCAGTTTCAGATATTTCAAATCGGTTTATTAATAAGAAATTTGTGGTCGAAGAAAAATCGGTTTTACCTAAGTTTTGCATTTGAAATAGGCAATCACATGCAGCGTCGTCAAAGAATATACTGACATATGTTAAGGTAACAATTATGGGTCTCTCAATGCAGTCAAACCTCAAATGGAATATCCATGTAAATGAATTGAATATTAAAGTATGTTCATTATGTTACGCATTCGGAATTCAATGTTCAGGCAGCTTTCAGGCGTGTATTTTGCGAATGTTTATTCCCTCGTATAATGTGCCATTATATTATGTGGAATGCCCAGACTTTCACAAAGCAGAAAAAATTCGAATAATACATGAATTCTCCTTTTCATGGAGGTTGGAATCCTACTACAGTCTTGCCTATTTAATTATGAATCTGTAGATTTAAATACAGTAGGCTTCCATAAAGGTGGGAACATATTTTCGTGCAATACATATATTTGTAATTGCAGCACACGTCATAGAAATTATTCGCATCAGATGTCAGTATTATCAAGAAACCCACTTACAATGTGCGAATAATTACGTTACTTTACCACGTACTAGATAACTTTTAAACAATATTGAAATCGATACACTAATGTATCTCCCCAATAAAATATTTTCTGCTTCATGTGTTTTTTTAATTTAAAAAGTATATATTGACCAAAAAGAAAAATATTTATTTTTAACAATGATTGATTTCGAAATAGTTTTCTAGAAGTTGTGGGACAGCATTAACGTAGAAAGAATGAATCGGAGAGACAGCCACGTGTTGATGAAATTTTTCCTTACGCTGCGTCTTCTTAGTACGGATATTGTCAGCACGTGCAAGCGTTAGAATATTTTTATAAACTCTAAGAACATACAGAATAAGCGTAAATGACGTATGGTTATTAATTCTTTTCGCGTTTACTATTTCCATATGGAGGCTGAAGGCCCATTCACAATGCAAACGCAAACATAAGCGTAGCTCATAGACATAAACATTAACATAAGTGATACACTGAAGGATTCACAAAGTCTAACATGAACCATAAGCAAAATACGAGTTTCTATTGGCTGTAAGACAGTCGATTTCAAGGCATCGACTGTGTCCATGGCCCAAATGGCGTTAGTTCTTCTATCGACTTCCCTCCAATTTCGATTCTCAATTTTGAGTTACCGTTCTGTGATTGGTTCATTTCTTGTCTTACTTACGCATAAGCGCAGAAGCATGCAGCTTGCAAGATTTACATGTTATGCTTATGGACGTAGTTCTAACTTTTATGTTAACGCCATTCTTGTTTGCATTGTGAATGGGCCTTGAAGTTCTCATTCCAAGAGCCCCAAAGAAGTCCCTGTCGTTTCCAAGAAATCGCTAGCGTCTAACGACTTCGCGTCGCATTAACGCAGGGCTTGCTTGGTTAATGCTGCGCCCTATGAGTGAAATGAAGTATGCGGTTGATTTAAAATGTTTCTATCAGGCGTTTTTCGTTTATCCTGCGCGATATGGGTGGAAATTTAATCTATCTGAAACGCCCTTATGTAAATAGTCCTCGAGCTCAGGTGAGATTTGTCCCAAGAAGAACTTATAATCATCAACTGGAGTTTTGGCGCCAACTTGAAAAGTCCGAATGCATAAATATTAACAATATTTACTGATGTAAATATTGCACTTATTCTCTGATATTTTAGAAAGACAAAATATGCCTATAACAATGTACTTCAGCCTCTGGGTCGGTGATCCCCATCTCAAGTAGGTTTTTCGTTCAGTTTCCCTTAATCCCTTAAGCAAATGTTGAGATAGTCCCTTGACTTCCTTCTGGACGTACAAGTAACTTCACGTGTTCAAGTTTTTTGAGCTGAGTGGACATTTCTAATTTTCAAACGATGCTAACCTCGCTTTGATTGTACTTTGATCAACTAGCGTATGTAGACAAAAGGTGGGAAGAGGTTCTGGAGCTCAATAAAGTGTACGCAGATATAAAAAAACAAACTTTTGTCTACTTTTCCCACATACGTCACATACAGTCCTACTGTTTTGTTGTTATCATTGTTTGTCCAATAAATAAATCAAAGAAATAAAAAAAAAAAATCATAACTTCTAACAAGTGTTGTGACATTGTTAATAAAATATTGATGCTTTAAAGCTGATTTAGTAACATCTAACATTAAATTTGTGTGCAACAATATTTAATTTGAGGGTCCACATGTGATAATTTGCTGAATAAGGGAACTATAAAGGGCGGACCCTACACCCGTAGCGCATTTGTTGACAACCTCTCAATGTGCAAAATGATTATAAAGAAAGAGGGAAAACAAAAGCATGGGAGTAATCTTGAACGGTTTTACACTAAGACTTAAAATACTACAAATGTCTTCAATATAATTTTGAATCTTCAGGTTTTGAGTGACTGCTCTAGAATTATTTTTATCCCTTGCTAAAGACACTAATAAATCAATTTAAAACAAACACGTGTGATAAATTGCAACATACAGCGTGCCAGGAAATTCTCTCCACAGCAGCACCTTGCTGGTGGTGCTTACTGGTAGTACTTGAAACAAAAATTATATTGGTAGCATGAGCTTGAAACAAAAGAAAATATAAATACTGCACTCACCACAATCATAATAGAAGCTAGTAGTGCTGACCACTTTACCTATTTTTTTTTCCAGCAATCTGTTTGCTACCAACATAAATGCAATTTTTAATGCAAGACCGTGAGTCGGTCTAGTGCGGAGACACTTTCCTTGTGCACTATATTTTGAACAAAAAGCACACAATAAACATTATCAATGATTTTCAGCTTCCTAAGAAATAATAATAACAAAAAAAATCGCTAGTGGGCCTCTGAGCTTCTCTGTGATAAACCTAGAGTTAATACTGTGCAATTTAAGTAAAGATATTCATATGATAATCATTTTAATTGTAGCTACTAATCTTTTTTTTTTTTTTTATAAATATCTTCCTTTACACTGCATCAATATTATCTAAATATCTCTGAATTTTTTTGCTATGTGTGTTTTATCTTTGATTTTTATGCTTGTGATGTAGTATTTACTTTTCAGAAGTGCAGAAATTATCTATTTGAGTTTTAAAAAAAAATGTATATTTTAGGACACAATGGCAAAAAGGAACACAGTCATAGGCACACCATTTTGGATGGCTCCTGAAGTAATCCAAGAAATAGGGTATGATTGTGTTGCTGACATTTGGAGTCTAGGTATGATACTTTTATACAAATTTGCATCTGATACATAATTATGAGCAAGTATTCTTGACATATTTTAACATTTTTTAAACGTGTGTAGGGATAACTGCTTTGGAAATGGCAGAAGGGAAACCTCCATATGGAGATATTCATCCCATGAGAGCTATTTTTATGATTCCTACCAAACCGCCACCATCTTTTAGGGAACCAGATCAATGGTCTCCAGAATTCATAGACTTTGTAAGTCGATGTTTAGTTAAAAATCCAGAAGAAAGAGCAACAGCATCAGAACTCCTGCAGCATGAATTTATTGGTATGTGTTGCTTTATTTTGTTTGGTTGGTTATTTTTAAGTTACATTTTTGGAGCAATTGAACATTTGTTTCATTCTTAAGAAGAGTACCCTACTTTTGTAATTACAGGAAATGCAAAACAACCAAATATACTTAGCCAAATGATTGCTGAAGCTCGAGAAATCAGAGAAAATCAAAGTTATCGTAATGCCACTGTAGCAAGTTCTGCAGTTGGTGGTGCTAAACTCAATCATGCTGATGAATCAGTAAGTTTAATGGTACTTCAATTGATTTACTTTTGCTCTCAGATAATACTTTGCATTGCTATGGTAAAAGAATGTCTTAAATGCTTTAAAATATTATAAAATTCTGCATTTTCTTAGAACTGCTTATTGTGTAGCATATTATTTGCTTATTTCGTATTATTTGCTTACTGTTAAACAATGTTAAATCACTTTAAGAAAAATATAGTAATACATTTTGTAAATGTGTTGTTATTTTATAACAAAAAGTAAAGAAATTGATTTTTAAATTTGTATCTTTATTGTTTTCTGTTTTTGTGGTTAGCATGTTAGTAATACAAATATATTTCTGCTTACTTAACTTCTGTTAATTGTAAAACATTTTTTTATCTTTAGGATGAGGAAGAGGCTGTGAACAACAAAACAATGCTTCAATATCCTGCTGACTCAGGAACCTTAGTACCATCTCGAGATCTCATGGATGGAACATTAGTACCTCGTGCAGATGGTAGTACATTACCGGGACATAGTGATGCTGGTACAATGGTGGAGTTACAGTCTGATTTGGGTACAATGGTTATCAATAGTGATACTGAAGAGGAACCTACCATGAAACGTAAGATGTATACTGGAAAAATAATAGAGAAACTGTGCAAGACAAATGTGTAGCTATGAGATATTTTCTGGAGCATTCTTCATGTTGCACTAGTATTACTACTATTTGATTCATTACTTCATCATTAATTACTTTATTTTCAGAATGCCAAAATATATTATATTGATCTGAGTTTATGTATTGATCTTCAATATTTCTGTTGAAATATTGACTGACTGGAATGGGTGTCTGTCTTTTATTTGCAGAGTGCATCTGGTAGGGAATAGCCATGTATAGTTTTTTAAGGTGTAGGATTTTAAAATATTTAGAGTCAATGGTTCTGTTAGATTCCCAGAGACTCAGAAAAAATCAAAAAAATTATGACTGACAAATTTAAATATTTGATTATGTTATTCCACAATTTCTCTACTCGCAGAGTTAAAACTAATCTTTTGTTGGCTTAGTGACTATCTTATAAAAAAGGCACATGTAAATATAAAAAATGGTATTCATATTATTTTTTTCTTATTAATTTTTACACATTGTGACAATTTCTTTGTATTATCATCTGGATCACAGGATTATTGTGGTAATGCTAATGAGGTGTCGTTTATGTAATTAAATGATGAAATAATTTAATTAATCTTCATCAACTTAATGGATTTATTCAGAGAGCTAGATTTCGATGGCTTTGCTATCATCATCAGGTAAATCCATTAAGTTAATGAAGACAACTTTAATTATTTCATCATAAGATTATTTTCATTTAATAGCATTAATTATTCATTACATTCAAAACCACTAACCACCCAACAGCTGTTGAATATAAATGGATTATGTTGTTCCTAGACATACTTGATTTCAGAGTTGTGTTGGTGATATTACAGACCAAATTGCTTCTATTTATTAGAATACAGACTTTTATATTGTTGAATGAAAATAATCTTATAAATCAAATGATGACAATATAAAGAAATTGTCAAAACATTGTGCAAATATGAATAGGAATAGATAATGTGAATACCATTCTTCCATATTTATGTATGTGATTATTTAAAGTTGTCAACAAGAAAAGGGATCGTATATTTACATATTATCAAAACAGAACTTTGGCTATAATTAATAATAAAATGTTATTTTCTCCATCTATAATAATTGTACTTTATCTTGATACCTCAAACCATTTTGAAGATATTTGATGTTACCAATTTAGTGGTCCATCCTTCATTATATAATTCAACAATAATGTGTATTATTGTTTGAAACAAGTGCCTTCGGTATCTTTCTCTCCTTCCATTGATTTGTATGGCGGCTTGCAAGCCTCTTGGCTTGGAATTCGGTGCCTGCAGCAGCAAACATGTTGATTTCCATGTACTTGCAAGCAGCATTTTTGTTGTTACAGACTACCAGTTATAATTTCTCTTGCTCTTTTCCTCTGCCTCCATGTTTTTATGGGTGCAAACATTTGCTTATTCTCTAACAGCTGGTGATTCTTACATGCTTTCTATGAAAATTTTGGAGTTATATTTACGGATAATTGCACTAGAAATGGATCAAATATGGTACAATGGTAGGACTCTTTGTTTAAATTTATTTAATTATTTAATATCAAAAAGGGTAAATATGTGACATTTGGTTCAAGAGAACTTCTTCCAGAGAGTTCTTGTAATTTCCAAGCGTCGTTTCATGCTGAAACATTTTTAGTAGTTACGTATAACTTGTAGAGAAATCCAGAAAGCAGAATGTTTTAAATCATAAAGAACTAAATTCAAATTGGTTGAAAATTATGATGAAACAAAAATTATACAATTGTAGTTTTTAAGTTTAATAAAAGAGATATGTTACCATGTCAATCTCAGAGCCTTTGCCTAATAAACTGACATTTGCAAATTTGTCTAGTAACATGTATTTTTGCCAAAATTGTGATTTCAATTTCTTGCAGCACTATATAACATTCTCTAAACTTTGTATATGAGAAAGCAATAACAACCATTTTTAGTTATGTGGAGCTTAAGTGGCTATTTTTTTTGTTGCAGGTCATGACACAGGACCTGGAGAATCCGGGAAGAAGTATCGTCCTCTATTCTTGGATCATTTTGACAAAAAGGAGGCAGAAAATAAGGTTACTTTGTTAATTATCTGCTTTTTAGTGATGGAAATATTTAGAACATTTTTTTTTTTAATTAAGCAAATCAATTTTTTGTTTTTTAAAATATTTATGTATAATAATTTAAAATAGTACTATTTTTTTAAATATATTTTGCATTTTCTTGCTATCTATTTATTAACTTGTTATCTTTGTATATGAAGGAAAAGTTACAATAGAAACAATCCACATTCTACTTTTTCGATGAATCTTTCTTTCTACCTCTGTCAATTTTAAGTTGTGATCTTTGTTATTATGAAAATAGTAGTGTGTTCTTAAAATTCTAGGTTTAGAATTAAATAATTTTACTATAAAAAATATGTAACCATTGTAGTAAATATTTGTCATTATAAAACTATGTTTTCTTTCTTCGTTATCAGGGCAGTGATACAGTTCAGGGAAATGGACAACCTATGACTCCTACTGACAAACTGGATGGCTCACCAAGTGCATTACAACAAATATCAGGTAGTGGAGATACAGGCCATCCTCTTAACAACAATAATAACAACAATAACAACAGTCCCAGTGGGGCACCTCCACTCACAGCTGAGGAGCGTCAGCGTTTTCAAAGCCATCTGCAGCGGCAGCTGAACCAAATTTCAGGGGCGGGTGCTAGCAGTATCCTCCAGCGCCATGGGCCAGCCCAGAGTCCGGGACCTGGAGTGCTACCAGATCCATTCCAGGCCCGTCATCACCACGAGAATCAGGCCAAATTCCAACGACCATTTGTGGATGGCGATTTTGAATTTGTAAGTACTTTAAATTAAATGGCGAACAGTCAAGAATAACCTTAGAGTTAAATTTTTGAGATAATTCTTAAATACCATTTTTAACTAATATTTAAAGCTCTTTCTGCTTATAAGCAACAACGTCTCTTATTGGTTGTGTCATCATGTGCAAGGCACCAAAGCCGTAGCTCCACAAAACTCCACATTCCCAAATAATGAAAATTAGATAAAGAAAGAGAGGAAATAGAGAAAGGAATTCCTGGAAATGACATTTGACTCTTATTTAATGTAGAATTAACTTTGTGAAGTCCTTTTTGCAAAAAAAAGTTCCCCAAACTAATTTTTAAAATTACCCTTCATACTTTTGGAAAGAAATTAAGAAATGTGGGCTTATATCCTGATGGTGACATGCTTCCTGAATCCAACGCCAAATCAACCATCCAAATTGGATGAATAAGGGTGTCTTAAAGAGGAATTTGGCAAAATATAATGTCCCCATTCCCTAATGCTGTGCCATCTAATGCCCTGCCCCATGACTTGCCTAAATCATTCATGGGATCTTTCCAAACTAAATAACCCCCTTGTCGATCTGGTTCCACTCAAAGCTGTGTGGTTTTGAATAACATTCTTTAATTTTTAGGGGTACTTTAAAGCCCCTGTGACATTTTCAAATTTTTATCAAAAATGACTCCAAAATTTTTCCTTACATTTTTTGTAAGAAGAAAGCAAAATACACTTGTAAAGATGGCATAGGTCAAATTTTCATTGTTTCCTTAAATTTTCAAAAATTGCAAAAGTTTGAAATTTTTACAGCATCTTTCTAAGCTCTAAAATTGAAGATAGAGATTTTTCTTTCAAGTAAAATTTTCTCTAGTTAGCTTTTTCATTAAAAGCCTGTACATTTTGTCGAGACTTTTAGTACTTTTCACTGAATATTGCGTGCAATATGTGCAATTTTAAAAAATAACAAAAAATATATTTTTTTGAAAATGGCTTCAAATTTATTCTCTAAATTTTGGGGAGGAATAGTGCTATTATAAATGTGCTGTATGTGACATTACATAAACCTTGTGTTATTCTTTTGTTTTTTCAAGTACAAAATTTTTTTACTTGCACCGAGAAGGTTTGTGTGCTGTAATTTTGTTGTAACTTTACTAGATGGCACTGGAAGACAATATTGCACTTCATAAATACAATTTATACAATTTTCTTTCAAACTTCCCTACACCTGGGCTTCATTGTTGCGTGGCCATGTGACGCAGGGTGAGGCCAGGAGAACCGAACGGACGCACACATGAGACAGAGAAAGAGAGACCAAGTTAAGCAGGTGGAGGCAGAGAGGGAGACAGAGAGTGTGTTGGACACAGAAAGGCAAGAGATGAGAGAGACTGAGAGAGTCGGAAAGAGACTGAGAGAGTCGGAAAGAGACTGAGAGTGTCGGAAAGAGACTGAGAGAGTCGGAGAGAGACTGAGAGAGTCGGGGAGAGAGAGAGAGGACTGAGAGAGTCGGAGAGAAAGAGTAACAAACAGAAAGGCAGGGTTAGAGAAAGAGAGAGAGATAGCTTGAGTCAAGACAGACAGACAGACAGAGACAGATATAGTCACAGAGGTAAGAGGCAGAGAGACACAAGATACAGACAGAGATAGAGATAGACAGAGACGAACTCGGAAAGATAACAGAAACAGATAGAGGAAAAGAAACATAGAAACATAACAGTGTCAAACGGGCACAGAGATAGAGAGACAGATAGGGACAGAGCGACAAAGACAGAAAGAGATAAAGAGACTGAGACAGACAGATAAAACCCAAAGATGGTTTCTTTTTCATAAGGATTGGGAACGAAAGGACAAGAAATAGAAAAATAACAGCAACTCCACATATTTTGCTAGTGGCTGTAAAGTTTCTCGAAAACTCAACAGTGTTCTGTAAAAATGAGCTCAAACTTCCACATTTTCACAAACACCATTTTCTCAAAAACAGATCCAAATTTTTCCTTCAAACTTTTGTAACAGAGAGTGCTAATTGCACTGTTTATTGTGACATAAAATTCATTTTTGAGGTATCCTTTTGGTTTTTTGAACATTAAACAAATGTAATTTCTTTTAAATATCTCTCACATTATTAATATGCACATTTCAGCAATTTGTAGACAGTTGCATTTGTGAGTTAAAGTGGTTCAAATAACTTCAAATTAAACTCAAAAATTTTCTATGAAAAGAGCTTTTAAGTTTTGCATCTACAGAAATGCATAAAAGTTATTTTCTTATAACAGCTCCAAATTTTTTAATGAAAATTGTCATTTAGGACGAGGTTTTTCCTCTTCTTTAATCTTAAAGTAATATTTCAGTTCTACTACTAGCAAACCAAAAAATAGTCAAATATTTTATTTTTGTTAAATATACTTTGGGCGGCATTAGATAGCAGCTAGCAAGAGTGTATGTCCATTCCAAATAAGTAATCCAGACAAAAGAAAAAAGAAAACTAATATGAGAAAGTCTGTGCCATTCTGTAACACCACTAGTTTCATATTCATGTTGTCTGTGTAACATAAACAACGAGAGATACATCACATACTTTATTGCATTATTGGGAACTGTTACACTGCAATTTCTGTCTATTAACACCTCAGCCAAACTTGATTAACATCCAGTTCAAACGAAGTGCCTGTGATACATATCTGCATTTTACTTCGTTAGTCGGGGCAGCAATTCCTTTCACAAATGAAACAAAGATCTGTTTTATAATTTTCGGAAATACTGAGAGTTACCCGAAAATGGGACCAGAACCACTTTCTTTACCGTTCTTTGCTTTGTACACAAGAAAAATTTAAATAAAATTTGAAGCCCTTTTTAAAAAAATTATGGTTTAATATTTTAAAACATTGCCTCTATCACACAAAATTGTGTACAAAATACAATAAATTGAACACTACAGTATTTAAAGACATTTTGATTTTGATGTACAGATTAAGGAAAATTTTCATAATCGTAGTTGCAGAAAGTAACCAAATAAATTTTGAATTTTTGCAATTTTCAAAAATTCATGAAATAAAATGAAAATGTGACCTACAGTCTTTCTGTATGGAAATTTGGTCTATCGGAGGGAATAATTTAATGAAAATATTGGAGCCATTTTTGAGAAAGATTTGAAAATGTCGAGCCACCGTGCAAAAATCCCCAAAATCAAAATATCCATTTCAAATTTAAGGGGCCATGAAATCAGTCAGATTGATCAGATTGTTGATCAATAATCGTTGATGGAGTATCAATTTTGGTGAAAATTCTACTTATGATTAATTCTGCACGTAAAAATTCTAATTAATTCTGCTAGCATTGTTCACAGACAGAAGCCTTGCTGTCAATCGATTTTTCATTATCAAACAAGGACACACAGCGTGTTAGATGAAGTAATTTACTACTTCAGAAACAAAATATATTCACTTTTTCATTTCTAGGGTATATTAATAATCGTTTTTCTGTTGAAAATTCGCTGTTTTCTTCAGCATTACTGTGCTTTATACTTCATAAGAAGTAGGCAAGAAATTAAAAACATAAACTACATGTGCAAACATTAGAGACTTCTAATCTTCAGAAGACACTATTTTCTACAATTGAGTAGTTTGTCTGGAAAAGGAATGTTCACCTAATACGTTATATAAATAATATACAAGATTATTACATAACTGTTTACAGTATTGCAAGAAAGTTTGTCCCAAAGCACCACTAGTTTCAAGATAAATGCAGTTTTATTTTTGTGTGACAGAGGATATGACATCTGCCCCTCATATAGCATCACTAGTTTTCACACAGAAAAAAGCCTCAATTGAGATCCATAAAATAGCAAAAGCATTAACTGACAAATTGTCTGCTTGCCTACTACTGTTTTTACAACCACCTGTAGGCGTGCCGAGCAGAGAGCAGTCGGCAGCATGGATTCATTGGTTGATAAGTGATTCAATGCATATTAACTGCTGAAGTCATTAATCTCATAAGTGTAGTATATGTTTTATCATGGGAATTGGCGGTGATCTTCCCTCACTGGATGGCAAAATTCATTGCCAACCTACTTGTTGGCCTCCGGATTTCCCTCAACCAGGTATCTCCCACCAGCAGGGCACCGGTTGGGCATAACTTCTACCTAAATTGTTGTCTTCCCCAATGTTACCAATGAAAAATCTACAAACATTCACAATTTTCCTGTGTAAGATAACTGATTTTTGTTTTGGTAAGAAAATAAAACCATTTCCACACTTCTTAACCATATTCAATTCATTATGAATTTAAAAATTATATGATTTTAATTTCCCAATATTTAATGGAGATATAAGCATTCTATTTTCTTATCCTTCCTGCTGTTCATATTAATTATCCTCACTGGTTTAAAAGTTCTGGAAGCTCTGTCTCTGTTCATATTAATTATCCTCACTGGTTTAAAAGTTCTGGAAGCTCTGTCTCTTAAAAAAATTGTTCACAGGGTTCTACTGTAGTTTCAACATTCAAAGTAAAAGGAAATTGTAAGGCTTTAGTTCAAGGTACTTGTCTAAATTTAAATTCTTTTAAATTTATTAAATTTTTAATTGTATCTGAATTTAAACATGATTACTCGCAGAATTACGTATTAACAAAGTCAAAAAAACATTTATTTGAGTTCTTTTATACAATATGTCCTTTTTTCTCCCGAACACAGGGAACAGGGTGTAACATAACTCCTGAACCATTAAACATTTTTTGATGATTCCTTTTTAAATCTGTTATAGGCATTTTACTTTAGAACCAAAATTTGAAGACTGATAAGGGATTTGTATGTACTTCACAGATATTTGTATTAGAACTTTTAAAAATCACTAGTAACAATCATAATTAATAGAGCAGTTTATTATTGTTAATATGCATTTTCTGTAATAATTTCAGATATAGGGACAAGAATTGACTTTCTGCTATTAAATAAAAAATGAATCTTAAAGATATCTTCAAAATTAGAAGAGTTACAATGTTTTAAGATGGGCCAAACAAGAGGAAAAGTAACTTTAGAGAAAAACCAGATTAAGATTCATTAGCACTAAAATAGTCTGTGAACACTAGTTCTCCAACTACAAGAAAGAATTTGTCCAAAAGGCTGCTTATGATGTGACAACAAAAAGAGTTACGTTAGTTTAAATCCCTTTTTTCAAATTTCTCACAAAATAATCATAATTTTTCGTGCGTTTTTTGCAGTTGTGGCCACTTGAACTGCATATGGCCTTGGGGCATTGCATATGTATTCAGAAAAGTACAAATAAACAAAAACCTACATACTTAGAAACAAACAGTTATGAGCTTGAAAAGTACACATGTCAATGCACAACAAACAATGAAAAGCATAAATTCCTATTTTTTCCAGAAAAACATTATTTTGAGGTACACAAGTACCTTAACATCTAAGAGCAATATTTCAAGTGTGAAATCTCTCTATAATATATTGTTCTTGTTAACATTTTTAATACAGATTCATTTGTATGTCTTATTTTCAAGAATATTGAACATTTTATTCTGTTCCTATTTGTGGGAAAACTGCAGATGAAGCATTTAGTTCTTTTTTCCTTTTCCCCCTTTCAGCTTAAGTTCCTAAGCTATGAAGAGCTCCAGCAACGCATGGCAAATCTGGATGCAGAGATGGAGCGTGAAATTGATGAACTGCGGCGTCGGTATCAAACAAAACGACAGCCTATCCTTGATGCTATGGACCAGAAACGAAAGCGTCAGCAGAACTTTTGAGGATAGTATTGCTGACCATTGGGTATCTTAGTGTAATTGAAATTCTTAGTGGTAGGCCTGGCCTACCTTGAGGTCCCCTCAAAAGACCCAAATGTGCCATAAGAATGTCGTTATTCAGATAGATTTCAGACAATGTTAGAAAAATGTTATGGACACTGAACCACAGGAACTCTTGTAGATTTGAGGCCTTATGCTCTTTGACATTTTTGTGATTACTGAGTGTTCTTGTAATAATTTCTGAGGCATTATCTCAATCTAAGGGGGAAAGAGAATAGAATAGTGAAAGGCCTTTTTGATAGAAATTAATAACACTAGTTAGAAACAATTGAAGCAATTTAGGTCAGAAATATTCCATGACATGTTGGGATTAATAGTGAGAAACATCGTAATTGATAGTTGTTTCTCATTCTCTTAACTTGTCTGAAATCTTTGGGATAAGGTCATTCTGAAACATGCTCTATGTTTGAATGCTGGTTATGAGGGAAACTTGTTAGGAATGACAAGTTTCTCTGTATGGTACATTAGAAAAAGCCTTGAATTTTCGAATCAAAATTAAATTATTTGTTGAATGGAAAAATATTTTTTCCATTGGTATATTGTACCTTCCAGTCAGATAAAATTGTATTATAGGTATTTTCATCTCTTATTGTACATGTGTAAATATAAATGAAACAAATAATGTGCAAGTGTTAGATATTAACAGGTCTTGTGTATGACTGTCTTGGAGGGTCCATCCAAGATTTTCGTATCAGTCTTTTTTTCGTTATAAATTATTATAGGGAGGATGGACATCTCAAGGACCGTAATGAAAGGACTATTCACGGTATTGTCAGCCTTCAGATTATTACTAACAATCAATGAAATAACTTCAAACAGAATTTCCATCTGTGTCCCAACTGATAAATGGCAAGGTTGTAAAGGTAGATGTGAGTGCCAAAGCTATTAGAAGTGTGGGGCATTGTTCTGTAACCTACACATCTTCCTTCCCTCTAACCAGCCATCAGCAAGTAATGAATTGATAGGGTTGTGAAGACTGGTGGAGGCTCAGAGAAGCCTTGTTGATAGTAGAGCAGTTTGCCTCAGGACCCAATATAATGTAAATAATGTTGAAAGACTGTTTTGCCTTTTACAGTTGTCTTGAATGGTGATACCTACTTGCATTCAGTTTCCAAAGAGAAAGAGAAATAAAAAGTGGAAAGTATAGAACACTACTTATATTGAATGGTAGTTCTGTAGATGGAGAAAAAGTACTAATATTTTCAACTGGAGTGTCTATAGTTGCCATGTTTCATATCCTTGTATTTTATACATGAAATCTGTGAAAGTAATTTTTGGAGGTCTTTGATTTAGCTCTTTAGGACACACGGAGATTGTTGAAGGCATTCATATATTTTATGTTCCCTAAATGTTCATATCGGTCAAACAATTTTTCTTGTAAATAGGCTTTTTCAAATGTTCTTTCTTGTCTCACAAATTTATATGAATTGAGAAATTTTGAAAAATGCACGGATATACAAATAAATTTCATTGTGAAGGATGATCACAAATTTTAATTGAATGCTCAATATTTCTGTGTCTTGGGGACTAAGCAGATGATTTCCTGTGTTCTTGAGGTTACACATATTTGCATTGCATCTTTATGTATTGTCTGTAGCTGTGACATTTATTTAAAATGTCCATGCTCTCTTTTACTGTCTGTCTTCTATGATATGTATCAATCTTTTATTTAGATCTTTCTTGAATAATGCCTACTATTTTGTGTTATGATGGTAAGCTCCTTGAATGATTGATGTGTGAAATTGAATTTTAGAGTTTTACATTTACAAAATAAATGGTCTGATCTAAATTAGTATCTTGACATTTATACAGGGTTCTTAGAATTAGGAAGGTGCAAAGCAAATGTACAAACTTCAGAAGAAAGAAAAATTATGTTTAAAAAAAGGGGAAAAAGTTATAATAAAAAATGCCTAACCATAACAATGCTCTAGAGAACATTCTAAGAATCTTTGAAGAGCGTATTCTCTGTTACAGCAAATGTTTGTTGCTTTTCTACTAGTGGGAAATTATGTTTTGCAATGAAATGGCTAGGCATTGACTTATTAGGAAGTAAACTTTTTAAATGTTCCATTCACAAATTTGAAAGAAGTTAACCTACTTGCAAAAACCTCATGATTTCTAGCTGTGATGTTGACCAATACTTTCCTCCCTTTTATGTCCTTGCAATGGAAATAGTTGTGTATGGGAATTTTTTACTGTCTTTTGCAGCCTCTCAATTAAAATATTGTAAAATTCATCATTCTGGAGTACGTGTTTTGTTTAATGAAGCATAAGGGGTATTTGTAATTCTTTCCAGGATTTAATATTTTTGTCTATTGAAAAAATGTGATTGTGTCCAATATGGAAAACATGTTGGCTGCTCTCTTACTAGTTTTATTTCCCTTAGTGTAATAATTGTTTTGATAAAATTATTCTTGATTATCATATTTCTCTGAAGATTTTGAAACAGTGCCGTCCAGGCTAATAAATCTATATCATTAACAGAAAGTTAAAACTCTTAATGAGATGAAAATATTACTGCTAACATCTCAATTCAATGCACTTGTTTTGCATATTAATAATAGACAATCTTTAAGTTTATATTGTTCCTTAGAAAGCTTTTTTTTATTGATAGAGAATGGATTGTATTGTCACTTGATTGAGGCATGAAAATTGATTGTTTTCACATTCCATTTCCCCCACAAATATTTTTATGTCCTTTTAATTTTTTAATTTTAGCTGTGTCATTTCATGTAACATTTGCGTTTCGACAAGTTATATGACAACTTTTTACATCCAAAAAAGAAAAAGTTTTAAAGCATTTATTCTTTCATGTTTCCATCAAGTAAATCCAGTACACATTTGGGAAGGAGCAAAAATGTTATGTGATCATATTTTAATGCTGCACTATATTAAGCAATTTTTCTGTTCGCCATATTGACAATCCATTGCCAGCATGATGGAATCCTCTTTTGTGTAAAGTATTATACACTAGGTATTTGACATATGGGAGGAAAATATTATTTCAAACCCAAACAAGGAGTTTACATAGAAATTAATGAAATGCAAGTTCAGTCTTGTCTGAAATGGACCTGTAATTCACAATCTGTAAATAAGATTTTTTAAAAAAAATATATAGTTACATATTTCAAATTTGGCTGTTTGTGTTTTTTAGATTTCTTGGCATTTATCAGCAGTCATCTTCAGCTTCATCACCCCCTTCTTCGTACTGATCATAAGGAGGAATTTTATTTTTTTTAGGATTGTAAAATAGAGGAGTATTTCCATCGCCCCAAGGAAACCTCTGTAACATAATAATTATCTTTATGAACTAAAAATCCAGACTTCAACAAAGAGGACTCGTTTGCAGTTGACAATTCAAAGCCAATTATTAGTAAGATTTTTAAATATAAAGTTCTTTGATTTTTTGTCAAATTCAAACGAAATTTGTTTTCAGCTCTTCCTCACCAAACTTTCTTTATCGACATCTATTCTACAAAACTTTTTATTAATTATTTCTGCGATCAACTTAAAAAACTTAAAACCTCCAGTTTGACATTCAAATGACATTGATATATTGTGTTTTCAAATTAGTACATACCTTGGTCCGAATATTGAGGTACTCGTAGGGAATAAATTTAGTTTCATCCTCCTCTTCCTCTTTATTTGAAAATATATAATATGACAAACCTGCAATCACTGGGACAACAACTCCTAAAGACACCATTCTGTATGTTCCAGCGCGTGCTAAAGAAATGAGAATACATCAACAACTACAAGTTTTAAGGAAAAACATACTATCTTAAGAATATTTGGCAATCTGTTAGGCACACGTGGAAAGAGGATACTGTAAAATTTCTTGATTTACACTAAAAATTTGAATTAATTCAAAATGTATTATTAAAAAAAATCACTGCATTTTACATTGCAATAATTCTGAATGAAAATATCTCTTGAGAATAGCAATGTTTTGAGGTTTATTTGATCTCATCTTTATGCTGAAAATAATGTTGGTTCTTAGATATTTAGTAATGTACAGAGAAATAAATAATATTTTGATGTAGACAGGACAATGAGACTCGCTTTAGATTATTTCACTAGCAATAAACACAAAAGTGTCAAATTCGAATAATAAATTGTGACTAGATATTATAAGTAGGCATGGTTTTAAGACGAAGGCATTACATCCTCTCTCCTTGCATGGCTAATGTATGGCCAAGTGCTCATTAGAAATTATATTCAAGAAGTTGCAGACAACCAAACATTTAAATTAAAACCATACATCCTTTATTTACTTGCCGATATGTTTAATTTAAAGAAAATTAAAAACAACAATAACAGTTTGATAATACATCTTTCACAGCCATTTCTTCCAGACTTTTTAAACAAACTGGAACCATCCTAGTTAAACCAACTTTACATTAAGTGCTGTTACATTAAGTCAATGAATCCAATTGTATTAATAGCAGGAGTACAGTTATGTGACTTATAAAATAGGTAGGTAAATGATAAGGGCAAGCAGTAATTAATCTAGTTTAATGTGTTTTGAATATTTTACTACTTCTACTTCAGTTTTGAAATTGAATAGATTGTTGTCAGTGACACAAAAA